GTGAGAAGTGCACGTGGAAGAAATTCACAGGGTAAAAAAATAACAGGAATTGAGTCTATGCCAGGAACTCTTCCTGGTCAAGACAAAGTGAGTAATTATAACCCATTTTTATTATTAATAATTTAAGCCATTTTTTTAACTAAATTTCTTGTCAATTAGTTATTGATAAGCTCGAATGATTCAAGGATTAGATTATATAATATGCGTGATAAGTCTTTGGAATACAAATATAAAGGACTTGAAAACACTTGTAGTCAAATCCGTGCTACGTTTAGGTGAATATTATACGCAATCGATTGTTTAAAATTTCCAAGTTTGTTAAAAATTTGATTATTACACAGTGATGACGGCCGTTATATTATATGTGGTTCTGAAGACAGACATGTATATATATTTAACACAGATCAATCTCGTATAAATTCACATCATGGAGGTGGTAGTAGCTGGTTAAAAAAAGAAAAGTGTGGTTATGAAAGTTTTGAATGTATGTATTATCATAATATATTCATTTTGCATTAATAATTAATACTAAATCTTATTATTACTTAATACAGCACACGCTGCTATAGTAACAGTCGCCATATTTGCACCTACCCGTACAAAACAGTTAATTAGTCTTTGCGGTGACCCGATCTTTACACATACTGTTAATAACGAAACTCCAGCTAATCAAACCTACCCTGATGGCAATATAATTGTTTGTGCTGATTACACTGGAAGTATAAAAATTTTTAGACAAGATTGTGCTTATTATCCTTCTCACGATTCTGATTCGATTTCTTTTAGAAGCACAAGGTAAACAATTCAGGAAATTAAAAATCCATTTATTTAGTAGGATCTTTGTTCAATAAGGTTATTTTCCTTACAAAGATCCCACATACGTATGCCCTGTTGGCGCATATATCTTTAAACTTAATAATCTAATTCAAATGTTCGTTTCTTTTAATAAAGGTCTTGGAATTCATCACTTGGTTCTAATTTAAATAATTTCTTTGCAAAAAAACCAAAAGGTCAAGAATCTGGGCATGGTGGAAGAAGAAGAAGAAAAAGTGATGCATCGAGTATCTACTCCGTATCTAGTAATTTAAGTGCAGATATTTCAATTAATGGTGATAATGAAAAACAGTTTCAATGTTCCTGTGGGTCAACGGATTTTAAGGCTTTTGTCAAAGATGGTACACCTAAATTGGTTTGTGCAAGTTGTAATAAGACAACTTAAATTTGAGTTGATGGAAAAAGAACAGAATTAGAACGATGGTATTCGTAGGCAAAGTTTCAAATGTTTATTATTTGTATTATAATTTAAAAATGTAATATTTTATTCAGGGTATTTAAGAATCATATCACTTGTAATTTTATATTATAAATTATCCTTTCAGATAGCAAAAACCACCTTGCATTCATTATCTTGTAATTATATTTTTATTTATGCGAAAATAAAGGTCACGTTCAACAAAATTTTTAAAAACACATCTTATCATTTCCGCACTATTAATTTATTTAAATGATTGCAGAAAAATTTTATCTACATAAACTGCCTTTTATATTAACACATATAAATAATCATTTATACAGTATTTTGGTCATTGCAAATACCCATTAGCTCTCAACCAATCCTCAACATCCTTTTTATCACGTGCTAACCAAGCAGCATTGACACGAATGTTTTCTAGACTTTGTTGTAAAGGTCTTAAAAAGTCTTTAGTATTTTTGTTAGAAAAGAAATCTTCAATATCTTTAATATCGGCGTCAGATGAAAAAGAATCGGTACTAAATTTAATTATATGTCCAAACAAACCAAGAGATTTGGCATATAGGTCGTGAAACTGTAATTTAGGCAAAATATTAACATGTAAACATATATAGATTAAAGGTAAAAGGGTTGATATAAAAAACTTACAGTTTCCCATCTTTCCTTAACAAAACACCATAGTGCCTTTCGCGATTTACGATTGAATTGCAGGCTGTAAACATTCGTAATTAGTAAAATTTTTATAGTCACGTATTATGAATAAATTATGAGCAACAATTTGAATCTTAATATACAAGAACAAAATACTCACCCTTGGAATGCATAAATAATGTCCTGATTCTTAACCTCATTCGATATGGAAAATTCTAATGCACGTTTAATCAAATCTTCTTGTTGAGCGAATCCGAGACCAGTTAAAGCAATGACTTTCTGATCTGAAGTATTTGCTTCGCGATAGGCTTTCAAAATTGCATCAAATTCATTTACTCCGCCACCATTACAAAGTACAATTTCGTAAACAGCTCCACGAATATTAGGATGTAAAGCCGATTTGTCATTGTTTTTTGTAAACAATTCAAATCTACGAAATGCTTCCTTAATAACTCTAAAATAATAGAAAATGAAATGAGATATTTATTCGTAATAAATATTAGTAATAAATATGAATTGTAATTAAAACTGATAAACTTACTCAGGATTTTTAGCCCTGCCAGCAACTTTAATTACCAAAGTCCTCATCATAGTGATTAAGTAGTCTTCGTTTTCGGGATATTCCCAACCCAATTTGGAAACCAATTTAGAAACTAAATGACGTTGAAAAGCTAAAAGTCCTTGGTATATAGGCTCAGGTTGTTCAAACCACACACTTAAGAGATCCGTAATACGAGAATTAATCTCCAACCATACGCTACGTTAAAATAAAAAAAAAAATTAATAAACATATAATGATATTTGAAAATAAAATTTTTATAAGATAATTTGTTGACTCACATGTATTTATCTTCATTGTCGAATTCATTAATGAGGCTTAAAAAGCCGCTCGTTTTTGCATAACCACTTACCGCCAAAGCACCAGCATCGGCAACTAACCCAACTCGATCACTAGTATTAAGTAAACCTTTCTTGGCAGCGAGACCCAACTTTGCCAATCGGTCTGGGGCATAATTTACGCGAAAAACGCCAGTTACATAAGAATTAAGTTTATAGAATTCAGATGCACCAGCCGGCAATTTTAAATCAATCTCTTTTGTAGTAAGAACTTTAGATTTAAGTTCATCACTAGATGATGAAGATCCAAGGCTTATTCCAAGTGGCACCCACCAATGTGTAGTATCTTCATTAGAACTGAGTTTCCCAGTTGAAAGGAAACGGGATTGACAAATGTGTAACGTATCAGAAGAAGGTTCAGTAACAGTTAAAACTGGATACTATATGATTATATTAATATTAATAATTCAGTATCTCAAAGGTCATAAATTTTAAAATTTTAAATACACATACACCAACAATTCTAGTCCAACCCGTCATGAATTGGCCGACATCAACTCCACTTTCTTCAGTTAAGGCATTCCATAAATCATCAGTGCTAGCATTACTATACACGTGACGTTTCAAATAACGCCTAACACCGGCTAAGAAAACATTTTCTCCTATGAAGTTACTCAACATACGTATGACTGAAGCACCTTTGTAGTAACTTATGGCGTCAAAAATCTGATGGATTTCACTATTAGCACAAATAATACATTTATAGACGATTAAGTATTATATCAATAAATAATAAATAAATATATATAAAAATATATATGTATATATACCTTGGATCATTCACGGGAACTTCGATAGGATGAGATGATCTTAAGGCATCAAGCTGAAGTCCTCGTTGAAAACCTTCCGTAACAAACCTATTAAAATAGCGTTTATTTATTGACAATTTAACAAAAAAAAAAAAAAAAATTTAATAACAACATTAAAACTCACTGAGTCCAGATATCCCAATCAGGAAAGATCTTGTCCACAGCAAGGTATCCAACCCAAGTAGCAAAGCCTTCGTTAAGCCAAAGGTGATCCCACCTGGGTTTCAAATGTATTCATTTAATAAAATACTCACCAAAAAAAAAACCAATAATCACTTACA